TCAGAAAACCTCTAACATTTCTCCAGATCTACATCTAAGAATGCCTGCCTCATCACACACGAACACAAATAGAAAGTGAATCCATTTTATTCAGCTCAATTTGCAACAGGAAGGGACCTTTTTTTTGGCTGTTATTGTTGTTTGTTTTTAAATCAGTTTGTAAAAGTAGTTGTGCTGAATTTGTTTAAAGAAATTCCCTACAAAGCACGAAGGAGAAGATTCTATCAAAAGAAAGCTGACTGCAACTGGACTGGGGAGGTCAGGGTGAGGAAGGTTTATTCCTGCATGAGAATGGAGTTTCTTCTGTGTGCCTCTTTGCTCCCAGGCAGCAGTTCCCAGAATAAAACATATTCAAATTTGTATTTAAAAAAAAAAAAAGGAAAGTGAGATTACTCCCCCACCCCCACCCCCACACCACTATATAATACCAGTTCTCTTCTCCAAATTTTCCTGCCTTTTCCTATTACTCCAACAAGACTGTAAACTCCTTGAGAGTAGGCCTGTGTCTTACTCCTCAAGCATCCTTTCTTGCATAAAAAAGTTTGTTCCAACTATCAGTCAGCAAACATTGATTAAATCATGGAGAACACAAGGACAAAAGTGAGACCATTTCTGCCTTGGAGGAACCCACAATCCAGCTGGAGGAAACAGCATACATACACAATATTTGGAGTGGGTGGGTGGGTGGGGATCAGAAAAGACTTCACATAGAATATAGACTTGGGACTACTTTGATTTAGGAGGGAGGTCAGCACTTTCTTTATAATTTATAGCCTTAGAATGTTGATTACAGAACTGAAAGTAGCCAAGGTCACACAACCACTATCGGTTGGGACTCAGATGCAGGTGTTCTTGCTGTGAGGCTAGTTTGAATCCCCTAGGTCTCTCTGCCTCTCCAGCTGAGTTAAAATAGGCTTGTTACATCTAAGACCATCAAATGGGTTTAGATATAAAAAACCATTAAAACTTTTTTCCTTTGTACAATCCAGTGACAATGAATGAGTGAAAAAAGTATTTATTAAGTTCTTTCTACGGTCAAGGCACTAAATAGCTTTATTTTTAGTCAGCACAGGATGGAATACTGGGTTTCTTCCTCTCTCAATACTTCAACTTAAAAAAAACAACTTTGATTTTCTCAGACTTTGTCCCTCTTCAAGATGTTTTTTCTGTTCCTTATTTCCTTCTTTAGAGGGGATTATTAGGCTGCTGTACCTGATGGAAGTTGAGAAAGACAGCACTTTCTGTCCAGAATCCAACTGTCTCGTCTGAATAACTTTTTATTCCACTGGCTCACAGACTAGCACAATTCCTGGGGAGAACACCACGGAGAAAATGAAAGCATTCAGTGCAGATGCAAATTATCGAATTGGAATAATGGATTTGCCTGGCCTCACAATCTAGGAATGGGCCTTTCCAGGAACCCAGAACTGGTCCTGACTGGTGGTGAGGGAGCATCTAGTGAGCTGCCTCTAGTGTGCATCACGACTTCCCAATTTAAAGGGGAAAGTTATGGGGCAGGTCCTAGGAAAAGTCTATGTCATAGAGATATCATAGAGTCACTCTATGATAAAACGTGTTTAATCCCTACAACACAGGGTTGGATGGAAATTTGAGACGTGAGCTTGACAGGCTGGTAATAAGTGCCCTGAAAACAGGTGAATTTTTATTTTTAAAAAAATTTCTCGGAAAAGATGTTAAAACTTTAAAAAAAAGTTTATGGAAGTCGATGTTCAGAATCTGCTTAATGCTGAAGGGAAGTACCCTAAGACCACAAAGCCTTAATTATACAAGAGGAATTCAGGCTGCCCTCTTGGCTGTCACTTAGAAATAATACAAGGCTATTGATAAAGGTTTATTCTTCACAGCCTACAACAGATGGCTGTGGGCCACTAGGTGGCGCAGTGGGCAGCGTGCTGCACTTCCAGTCAGGAATATATGAGTTCAAATCCACTTGGCTTAACCTCTTCATATCTCTGCTTCATTCTCTGTATAGTGACTTCTAAATTCCTTTCTAGCTCCAAAAGCTGTAACAGTTCAACTCAATGCTCCCTTCTTCCTTCCATTATGAGAAAGGACCGAAAAAGGCCTGGAAGAGACTTTAAGATGTTCATCTAGACCAACTCCCTCATTTTACAGAGGGGGAAAGGGAGGTTCAGAGGTAAACAGACTTGCTACAGGTAGTGAGCAGAAAAGGTAGAACTCAAACTTAAGTCTTTTGTCTTCCACAACTACATCATGCAACCTCACAAATCAAAGTCTCTTTAGATGGGGCCAGGTAACTTACCATCACATCAATGATGTGACAGAAATTGGTTATCCCAACTCCAATATGAAATAGTGAAATTATTTACATGGTGACTAGGTATGGTGACTTGGAAATCAGAAGATCTGGGTTCAAATCCCTGATCTGCCATCTGTATGGCCTCTTGAAAGTCACTTAAACTCTCTGGGTCCCAGTTTCTTCATCTGTAATATTAAAAGGTGGAAGCCTGGCCCTAAAGAAGAAATCAGAAAATTCACCTCCCTGTTTTCATTAGAGAAGGTGTTGAACTATGGGTGAGGAACACAGTTGGCCAATTAGCTAGAATTACTTTTTTCCACTTGTGTTTTTTATTAGGAGAATGGCTGTATGGTTGGGATGTGGGGGATATATTTGGAGATGAAAGGGATCTAAAAAGCAGAAGATATCAAGCAAAAATTATTTTTTAATAAGGAGGTTCTACTCGATGACTCATTAAGTCCCCCATTTTACTTAACAGTCCTGATATTGAAAAGTGGATATGAAGAGCTAGGTAGCCACTGGATAGATCACTGGGCCTGGAGTCAGTTCAATGCAGCCTCAGACACTTACTAGCTGTGTGACTTTGGGAAAGTCATTTAACCTCTGTTTGCTATAATCCGGTGGAAAAGGAAATGGCAAACCACTCCAGTTTCTTTGCCAAGAAAGCCCCTATATGGCGTCATGAAGAGTCGGACACAACTGAATAATAACGCTATTCTAACTGGGTTGATTTTGTCCAAAATAGATCCTTCACTGCAAGTATATGTTATAATACTGTAGTAAAATTTAAAAAAAAAAGCCTAAGGTATTTTTAACCTGATTCTTTCTTCTCTGTTATTCCTGCTCCTTCCCAAAGAAACAGCAGTGTCAAAACCATGAGGCCCGGAGGGAATGGCCTGATTTTCCATACTCTAAAGATTCTCCTTGACCTGCCCACTTCCTCCCCTAGGTGCCTTTGAACAGCCTTCCTCAAGCCTCCCCCCTTCAGGCCCGCCAGTTCAATGCCCCAGGCTCCAAAATTACTTCTTCCCTAACTCATCAAAACTCTGAGGAACTGTCCTCATTTGGTTGTTTGTAGCTAGAATCAAACCAATCCACACTAAAGTGTGAATGACAAATCTGTGGCTTAATGGGTTAACTCTACCCAACTGCATTTGCATTTTAAAAGGAGCCTAGGAATCCAAGCTAAAGGATCCCTAATCCATGAATTTCAGCTATTTGGGGTAGTGTTCCTTGGCATCTTTTATTTACTCTTCTCTGGAAGACCCCGCTAGACTTCTGTTGGTATGGAGAATTTCTCTATGGACATATTACTCTCTGCACAATTCTAATGATGGGCTTAGAGGGTCAGCAGGAGCAGGTTTCATACAACGGAATGGTAGTGGTTAGGGTTCTGGACCTGAAGTCAGGAAGACATGCGTTTGAATCCTTTCTCAGATACTTGCTACCTGGGGGACTCAGCTCCTTCCAGCGCCCCTCACTCCTTATCAGTTGCTTTTCCCCACATCTGGGATACTCTCTCTTCCCACCTCAGACTCTTATGATCAATCACTATCTTTCTTCAAAGGGCAGCTGAGACGCCACTATCTTCATCACTTCTCACCTAGGTTATTGCAATAGCCTTCAAATTGGCCTCCTTGCCTCAGATCTCTGCCCTGCTCTGATGCATCCTCTTTTCAGCTGCCAAGGTGATTTTCTGAAGACACAGGGATCAATAAACTACAGTGGTTTCCTATTGCCTCCAGCATCAACTATATGATCTTCAATTTGGCATTTAAAATTTTTCAGAACCTGACTCCTTTCTATCACAAATGACATTCCCCTGCCCTACCTGTTCCCATGCCTGAAACACTTGCCCTTCTCACTTCTGCCTCGGCCCCCCGGCTGCCTTCGAGACTGACCTCAGACAACGGAAGACCATAGGGAAAGGGCAGCTCGTGAGAAGGTGGGGTGCTTTACTCTCTAATTTTGTTTTGCCTTTTGAGGTTGGGTTAAATCAGAGGTCCTTACCCTGGGGTCCACGAACTTGTGGTTTTTTTAAATAAATATTTTGATGTCTATTTCAATAAAATAAATAAATAAATAAATGAAAACAAAACCAAAAAAATTTTGCAAGACGCTGTTCCGGTCTTTCCTAATGCTATGTGTGTGTGTGTAGTTATTTTTTAGTGTCTCCTTCATTAGAATGTGAGCTGCTTGAGGGCAGAGGGCAAAGACTTCGTTTTTGCCTGGCACACGGTAGGTTATTTAGTAAAGGCTTGTTGACTGACTGGGTAAAACCTAGTTCCTGATATTTCAGCCCAACACGATGAAATCAGCTCCTACCAAGAGTAGCTGTGTCAGCTCCCACGGGTCATTTCCCATCTGTAAAGCGAAGGGGTTAGACTCGATGGCCTCGGTGGTCCCCTCCAGCCCGTCCCTGGGCCTCAGTCTCCCCGTCTGCCACACGAGGGGTCTGCAACCAGACCGTCCCCGAGGTCCCAGCCGGCTCTAAGTCAAAGAGGCTGGGCTGTTCCCGCAGGACTGGACGGAGAGGGGCGGGGCGGGAGGGAGGGGGAGTGGCGAGGGCGGGGCGTCCCCAGCTCCCGCCAATTTCAGGCCCGCGGTCCCCGCGGGCGGTGACGTTCTCGCGATACTTCATCGCCCAGGCCGGGGAGTCCCAGTCCGGGCACAGTTCCGTCAGAGCGCGGCTTCGGGCGGCGCAGTGCGCAGGCGCGGCCGGTGGGCCGGCGGGATTCCCGGGGCTACAGCGGCGGCCGCGGCCGCCGCCCGAAGCCGCTGTTCCTCGCTCGCTCCGCCCTGAGTGCCATGGCGCCGGCCGCGCTGGGCTCCGAGGCGCGCCTCAGCCTGGCCGCCTTCCTGCTGGGCGCCTCGGTGGTGGGGCTGCCGCTGCTCACGCGCTCCGGCCTGCAGGCCCGCACGGTGCTGGCGCTGTACGTGGCGGCGCTCAACGCGCTGCTGCTGCTGCTCTACCGGCCGCCTCGCTACCAGGTGAGCCCCGGGCCGGCCGGGCCCGGGGGCGAGCCGGGCGTGGTGCGGGAGTGGTGCGGGCGGCCGGGCGGGGGGGGGGCGGCGGTGTCTGCCTGGTCAGCTCCCCGCGAGCTAGGAGGAGTTATGGGGAGCCGCTGGTGTGGCGGGTGGGGGGCACCCACCTGGGTCAGCTCCCCGAGAGCTATGAGGAGCTTCAGTTGGGGGAACCAAGGAGTTATGGGGAGCCGTTGGGAGAAGGGGTGCCGACCTGAGTCAGCTCTCCACCAGCTGTGAGGAAGACTTCAGGGGGGCCATTGGGACTGGGGTGCCAACCTGGGCCAGCTCCCTGGGAGCAATGGACAGCCACGGTTTGGGGTGACCCAGGAATCGGTTATGGGGAGCCCCTCATACCAAAGGGGTTACTTACTTGAGTCAGCTCTGGGAGCAATGGTGAGCTGTGGTTTGGGCGATCCAGGGGAAGTTATGGGGAGCCACAGGCAACGAGGGGTGGGGGGTTGCCTACCTGTGTCAGCTCCTTGGGAGCTTGGGTTTGGGGGACAGTTCAGGGAGCTATTATGGGGCTCTGCTTTGTACTGAGGTTCTAGGCCTGTGGGGTTTGTGTGATGTTTACCTGGTTTTGTTCCTTAGGAGTATTGGGGAGCTGAAGTTTGGTGGTATGTGGTTCCAGGAGAGGCAGTTATGGAGAGTTGCCCATTCTTGAGAGGCAGAGGCCATTAGAAAGGGTGTGGGGCTTACGTGCATCAATTGCTTGTGAGCAATGGGGAGCTGTAGTTTTGGGAGGTTATGGGGAGCCATTTGTAGTGAAGAGCTGGGTAACACTGGGCTGGGGTTTATTGAGATCATTTCCTTTTGAGCAGTGAAGGTCTGTGGGGTTTGGAGGAGGGTGGGTTCTAGGAGGTAGCTATGAAGAGCACACTGAGAGACTTGGGTGGGCCCAGAATGGAATCAGGTGGTACTTAATCTGGTTTAGTTCCTTGTAATAGTGAGCTGTGATTTTTTGGGGTGTGGTGGTCCACAAGGCAGTTATGGGGAGCTGCACATACTAAGGGGTAAAGGAGTCCATGGGAGATCAGTTTCTTGTGAGTAATGGGGAGCTTCCATCTGGGCGTGGTAGAGAGCATTTACAAGAAGCTGCAGATGCTGGGGGTTCTTTGAAGAGCTGCTAGTGTTAAGAGATAGGCAGGAAGGGTGTGGGATGTTGAAAACTAAAGTCCTGTATGAGTTTACAGGAAGTAGTGGTTGGTGGTGTGGTGATAAGGACTATTATGGAGACCGGTGGTTGTGGGGGCAGGTGAAGATTTGATAGTCCCCTATATCAGTTATGAGTTATGGGAAGTAGAGTTGGTTAATGGGTGGGGACTGTATAGGAGGCCATAATTATGGAGAGCTGCTGTTACTAAGGTGGAGGCCACAGTTGAAGTTATCAAGGTTAGCTGGCTATGGATTATGGAGGGTGCTTTGACTCCTCAGTAATTAGGGTGGGCAGTTATGGAGTCTGGCTTGGGTGATAGGTTTGGAAGCGATAGTTTGTGGAGTCAGTTAGGAGCAGCATGAGGGGGAGGATGTATGGCTTATATGGGTAGTAATGGTAGGGGAATTATAATTACTAGAGTTAGTTGGCTAAGAGTTTTAGAGGGGAATACTTGGTTAGGGGGTGGTTAGAGTGGGCGGTAGAGGTGGTGATTACTGGGGTGAGTTATGAGGAGCATTGTTTGAGAGGTAGTCACTGGGAGGTACTTAGGGGTAGTATTGGTTAATGTGGGGTATGGCTGGGTCAGCCTTTGTGGGGGAGCATTAGCCTGTTAATCAGGATAAAAGAAAGCTAGGGATTATAGGTTAGATGAATTAGTGACTGAATGGACGATGATGAGAGAAAAGTCTGGGGCCGGGTTCTCTCTCCTTCAAAAGGGAGTTCATGTCAGACTATACCCAATTGGATTTTGTTGGTGGGGTGCATTTGGGGAGACTGAAGACATGAGTATTAGGGAGAGTAAAGGGATAACAGGATACTGGAATATGTGGAACAAACAATTAGGAGTAAGGAGTGGGATACAGGAGATAGAAGTGATGGGTCTGGGAGTTCATAGGATGCGTTGGAGCAATGGTGCAATTTAATAGGGGGGAATAGGGCACATTAGGGAGTTTAGGGGGGACAGGGCTGGGAGCTGAGTGTAGGGCATGTAAAAACTAACTTTGTGGGATGGTAGTGTACAGCATTAGAACTGTGTGGTGGGAAATCAATTTTTCAGTCGTTTCAGTAATATCTGACTCTTTATGATCCTGTTTTGGGGTTTTCTTGGCAAAGATCCTGGAGTAGTTTGCCATTTCCTTTTCTCGCTCATTTTATAGATGAGAAAACTGAGGCAAACAGGGTGAAATGACTTGTTCAGGGTCACACAGCTAGTGTTTGAGGCTAGATTTGAACCCAGGAAGATGAGTCTTCTTGACTTCAGGACCAGTGCTCATATCCACTGCACAACAGGGCTGGAGAGCAGGAGATAGGGATCGGCAGGAGGGTTTTATGGACATTAGAAGTGTGATGGAAGAGGTTGTTGGGGATGCTTGGAGCTGGGCAGTAGTGCCAGAGCAGTTGAGGGCGTGGTGGGAAAAGGGGTGTCAAGGGATGAAGAAGGCTCAGAGAATTTTCTGGTGTCTGAGAGGGGGTGGCAGGGACCTTCAGATGGAGTCGAGGAGGAGGTGGGGGCAGTTAAGGAGTAGGAGTGGGGGGAATAGTAAGGGGCAAGGGTAGGGTTGGGGAATAGGGATAGAGTGGGAGATTCATCGTGGTTGAAGATAAGAGCTCTGGAAGGATGGAGAGTTAGGAGCGTTAGTGTCTGTGAGTGAGGGACAATAGGTAGGGAAGGCAGCAGTGATGGAGGCCTTTGATGGGCTTTCTAGGGGAGGGACTGAGAAGGGGCTCTTTGGGAGCAGTTGACAGGCCTGGACCTTTATGTGGCTGCATTTCTGGTAGGAGTGGACAGGGGAGATGGATCTTCTGGGAGGTCCCCCCTCCTGCAATAACCTATTCCACGTTCAGATCTGATGGCTGGCTTTCCCTAAGGGTACGGGGGAGATCTTTGGAGGAGGACTTGACACCCTCCCTACCCAGGGAAGTGGGTGTCATTCGAAGTTCTTGTTTTTTAGCAGCTGCAGCAGAGGCAGATGTGCGTGGGGCGCAAACATATGACTTTATTTTATATAATGGAAGGTGTCCTGTGACAAGTTAAAAGGGCCAGTCCTTGCCTTGGCCCCTGAGGCTGGGTGCTCTCTAGGGCTCTGCCCTATATTTTAGGGGTAACCTTGGGGAAGAACACGTTACTCGGTTATCCTCTCAGTAGACTAGCTTCACTAATCCCCTTTACAAAATCCTGAATTGAGGCTGGGAAAAAAGCTTGGTTTTGAAATGTTGATGTAAAAAGTATTGCCACATCTGGGTCAGCATTCCGAGGTTTTTGTGTTGTGGTGCAGTATCCTGTGGGGATGTGAGGTGATAGAGCCTTTCTCTGTCTCTGTCTCTCATTTCAGATAGCCATCCGGGCCTGTTTTCTTGGCTTTGTCTTTGGATGTGGATTGCTGCTAAGTTTTAGCCAGTCTTCTTGGAATCACTTTGGCTGGTAAGCAATAACTTATTCATATTTGTTTTTCAGTGAGGGGGTCGGTTGGGTTGGCGTGGATGGATCAAGGAATTTAGAAATAGTGCTTCGTTACCCCTTTCACCTCTTGGTCACAGTATTTCATCCCTGACTTGCTGAAGGCTATTCTGTATCAATTCATTCATCTCCAGTTTCTGGTCAGATTCCTAGGTCTCAATCATTAGGATTAATCATTGTCATCTGGCCCTGTTGTTGGCAGGAGACAGGTCTGAGTGAAATTCTCCCTGCAGGTGTCCCTCACCTGTTTGTTCAATGCTGTGTCTCACCCTGACCTGAATGGGATCAATGACATCAAGGTGAAAGGCTCTGTTTGGATTCATAGGCCTTTTCCATCTCTAATTTCTATTAGGTCACATCTAGTGCATCCCCCACGGGCCATTGTAGGATTTTTCCCTACAATATGATTTCAGTCCCTTGAGCCTTCTAGTCCCTGACCTGGATTTGAACCAGTGACCTAAAGGTAAAAAGCTTTATATCCTCTTATCAATACTGTGAGCCATCTAAGCCTTCTTTACTGGAATTATGTTGCAGTTGTGTTGAACTTTATAAATTGACATACATTGTCGCTTTATTTTATGCCATTCCTCCATTTTCATGCTTTCTTACATGTAATGGCCATTTTTAAGAGGTCTGAACAGCATATAATATAGTAACCTAATGTTTTCTTATTTATGGAATTGAAAAACCGAGTCCCAGTAAAAATTCTTGCTATGCAAAAGAGGCGTGATTCTGCAGCAGGTGCTGGGAGTCGGCTTTGGACCAGGCGACAGCACACATTTCATGATTGAACAGCATCACAACCCAGCTCTACATTTGGGTTCACTCTAGACTCTTTGCCATCTATCTCTCCTTCTCTTTTTTCTTTTTCTGTTTTTTTTAGGTATATGTGCTCCTTGTCATTATTCCATTACTCTGAGTATTTAGTGACAGCAGTCAATAATCCCAAAAGTCTCTCCCTGGACTCTTTTCTCCTGAACCATAGTTTGGAGTATACAGTAGCTGCTGTCTCTTCTTGGATAGAGTTCACAGCTGAAAATTACTTTTGGCCAGGTTGGTATGTATACCCTTTCCCCTTGGGTATGGGGATTTAAGGAGAATAGCATTTGACTGTCTTTGGGGTCTAGATACAGTTTTTTTTCCCTCCCTCTTTTCATCTGCTGGATATCATTTCTTGATTTTGAATTGAGGGCAAAGTCAGCAACTTTTTTTTCCTTTTATATCCAGTATGATGTGGTGTTCCGTTTAAATTCACAGCCTTCTGTAGTTCCAGACCAGGGGTTCTTACAAAACCTATTTTTGTGCTGTGGACTCCTGGGGCATTCTGGTGAAGTGTGGAGAGCACACTTTTCAGAGTCATGTTTTTAAAATACAAAATAAAATAAAATAAAATAAAATGCATAAAATAGAACATTGAATTACAAAGGAAACCAATTATTAAAAAAAAAACCTTTAAACTCTTATACCTGTAATGTACTCTGAAATCGAGTGAAATAAGACTGTGGCTTTGTGACATACTAAATATAAAGTTGGCTCTCAAAGTCAAGTCTGGCAGTTGCCTTTTGAGGTCTCTGGCCAAATGCGCTCTGTGTTCTCCCGCTATTTCCTTCTTCACTGCAATCATGACCAAAGTAGTGGGTGATGGAATTGATCTTCCTGGCAGCCAGGACACACTGTCAAGCTGACTACTTAGAGGAAATAGACGTTGTGTATTGGGGCACTGCCCTTTAATTCCTCGCTTTATGTGGAGGTGTTTTATGTTATGTAGATATATGGACAACCTAAGTTATGGAGGAATATTGTGCTGACGTTTTAATATCACTGCTGCTATAACATGAGTGCTGCCATGTGACCCTGGCAAAATAGTTATATCATCTTTCCACCCCTGACAGATGTGATATCTTAGAGCTGGATTTTAAGCAGAGGTAAGGTTCCAGATCAAGTTCAATTTTTTTGTTTTCTCTTGTGTCTTTTATTGCAGAAATGAAGCAGATAACATGGCTCAGCATCACTGGGCTGCTTATGGTGGTCTTTGGGGAGTGTCTTCGGAAAGCTGCCATGTTTACAGCTGGTTCCAACTTCAACCATGTTGTTCAGAACGAGAAATCAGAGACACACACTCTGGTGACAAGTGGGGTGTATGCTTGGTTCAGGCACCCCTCTTATGTTGGATGGTTTTACTGGAGTATTGGAACCCAGGTACTGTTTGTAATTGGAGAGCATTCTTCTCTCCTGTAGTTTTTTAAAGATTTGCATTGTAACATGTTTTGAATAGGAACCTACCTGAAGTCAGGAGTCCATAGGCCTAGTTTAATAATGTGGTGTGTTCTGCTCAATAGAGTCTCTCTTCACTCCAGGCCTCCTCCATCGCCTCAGAGTAGCATGGTAGTGACCTCTCTTCTTGAAGCTGATGACACCGGAACATAAATCCTGTCTGGTTCCCCCAAGCCAGAAGGGCTTTCCATGTAGACCCAGCATGTCTATCCTTTGAGGATAAGCATTGCTCATTGGAAAGAGGCTCATTTTGTAGGTTGGCTTCAGGATGGTGAATTTTTCCTCTCCAGCAACTCCCAAAGGCTTTCCAGATTGTAGAGTAGTTTTAGTCTGCATCAGTGAAGGGAGCGCCCACACCCACAAAATCAGTATGCTTTCCCAGAGGTGGTAAAACATGGTGGGTCTCAGATTGATGCTCCCTAAATTTGCAGATGCCAGAGGGTGCTGGCTGCTGCTGACTGTACCTGCTTTTTTCTCTCTTCTTTCCTCTCTGGCACAGTGTGGGGGCAGGTGATCAAGTGAGGTGCTGGGAGAATCTGGGCAGAACCTAGGGAAGGCTTGCTCTGTCGCTGATTAGCTCATTTAATGAGGCCACACTGACAGCCTTGGTCCAGTGTGACCTAAATGGCCTTGCTCTATTCCTTGACCACGCATCACTGAGTTGCTCCTTGGAAGCCATCTCTAAGACAGTCAAGCCATCAGAGGGGGCTCAGTAGGAGGGCTGGGCCATATTGCCCCCAGAGAGGTTTCACGTCACTCGCTGCACGGCACTTTATTGTCTTCAGCTACTTCCTCTGGCTTTGATGTTTTTACATGACAGTATTTGAAACGTTCTGTAGCCATCAAGTCTGCAGACATCCAACCTTCACACTTGGCTTGATTGCTGAGAACACCACCATTTCCATCACCTGCTCCGAGACACCGCGAGGTGCTCAGGGATCTGAGGGGGCGCACGTGTTCAGGAGGAGGCTGCAGCTTTTTTTCATTGTTATTAAGTAACTAGGAGAGTCGATTACTTGTAATAACTCACATTTACGTAGGTTTGTGAAGTCCTTTTCACATATTATTTCATCTGGTTCTTAAAACAACTCTGTGAGGTGTTTAGGGAAAGCACTATTATCATTGTCCCTATTTTATAGACGAGAAAACTGAGGTGGAAAGGTGAAGAGAGCTGGGCGCAGTCACACTGCTCTTCATTGTCAGAGCTGGGATTTTTAACCTGAGTCTGTCCTGATTCTAAGCCCGACGCTCTTTCCATCATGCCATGTCGCCTTTTAGGAGTGGAAGGGAAATTTGCCATCATCTCCTACCTCCCACACCTGTGAGGAAGCTAAGCCCCAGGGAAGTCGCCCCTAAGTGATAGCAGGCAAGCCTGGGCTCAAATTGAGGTGACTAGTTAATTGCTAGATCAATTTCAGTTCCTAGAAGAGCATTAATGATGTTCTTCAGTAGTCCTCTGTGACCGAAAAAAATGAGCAGCACCCAACCGTAGGCACCTAGTACAGTGCAAGAGAGTGACTTTGGGGACTTAATGGAAACTGGATTGATTTCATATGTTCTTGCAACTTTAGAGCTAAAAGGAGCCTTAAGAGAGCATCTCATGTAATCCTTTCATTGTGTGTGTGTGTGTGTGTGTGTGTGTGTGTGTTTCCTAATCTCAGTCCTCCTAATTTCCTTCTCTTCCTCCCCTTCTCCAGGTGATGCTCTGTAACCCGATATGCGGTGTTGCGTATGCTTTGACCGTTTGGCGATTTTTTCGAGATCGAACAGAAGAGGAAGAAATCTCGTTAATCCACTTTTTTGGAGAAGAATATCTAGAATATAAAAAGAAGGTGCCCACAGGCCTACCTTTTATTAAAGGAGTAAAGGTAGAACTCTAGGCCTAGGTGCAGCGTGAAGGGTGCTGGTGTCTCTGGAGGAGGTGACTCCAACTCTGGGCCGCATATGCTTCTCTGGTAGGAGGTGAAGGATTCTAGGAGTCATTTTGTATTTTACCAGTTATGCTGTGGAGGAACACTAAGGGCTGGGCAGTCAGAAGGCCTTGAAGTGGATCCCTGAAGGTGCAGAGATCCATCCTTATCCCTAGCTGTGGCAGGTAGGACTTGTAGCTCAAAGCAGACCAGAAGGGAGTGACTCGTCTCCTCTGGTGGTGTTCCTCAGAACAGAACACGGTGACAAGCTGCCCAGTGTCTCCTTTGCCCACCAGAGAGGAGCTGGCTGTGGAGACACCGTAGAGAAGATTCAGCAACCCTGATGGATTAACTGCTTCCCTATAAGTGATGCTATGAAAAAGGCAAAAAGGTGTGGCTGTGGCTGTGGCTGTGTTGGGTGGGGTGGGGGGGGATATAAGTGCTTCTTACTTGCATTAGAAACTCGATTGTAAAACTTGATTTAACAGGCAAGCCCAGACCTCACTACTCTAACCTCTTTGTTTCTCTTCCTTTTCAAGTGCACAAGCATCGGTACCATGTTGAAAATGTTGCTTATAAGATGCTTTGGCCCTCTCCATTTCTGTCCTTTTTTTTTAAGTAGCAATGTTATTCACTCATTTGATTTTTAAAAAATCTTCACATTTATATTTGGCAGCAAATAGGTGTGGGAACTTAACATTTTGAAATGATTTTAGATTGTCTGAAGGTGAGTGAAAACTCTTTAAAACTGCAGCTTTTCCCTACAGTGCTAAATACACTGTAACAAGCAACTTCCCCAAATCCAGTAAGACCCTTCATGACCTTTGTGGGAAGATTTGTTTCCTGCTTGATATCCCTTCCCCAAAGGTGAAGTTTGTGAAAGACTGCCCGGTGTCGGGGCCTCTTTTTGTCGCTATCAGAAAGGGGGAGCAGGGAACAGCAAACTGTCATTGTAGACTTTTTGAGAAACCCTGCTGGTCATTACTCACCCCTGTCATTGCCTGCCTACCTATCGGCTGTACTTCTGGCATTTCATCCAAAATTTACTGTTAACCTCCACTTCCTGGTTCTTCTCTTTTTCAAATTCCAGTGTGCTTCATGATTTTTGGCATTTGATGATACGTTTACTACAAATTTGAGTTCACTCATGAAAATCCATTTTATGATCCCACCTGGGATCCTCTTTGTTGTTTCCCAAGTGCAGGGAAAATGATTGGTTTTATAAGTCAGATGTACAAGCTTTAAGAGGTAAAATGCCTATTGGATTCTGGAATCGATACAGAGTTTAGTCTGGGTGTGAGATCCTTCCAAGTGACACTAGCTAGCTATGAATGTGAAGGCATCTGGGGCCAGTGGGTAGAGCAAGCTTCTACCACTGATTCACCAAGAGGCCTTGCGTAAAGTCACGTAACCCTTCTGTGCCTAAATCTCCCCACATGCTGTGTGGGGATAATGACACCTACCTCACAGGGGTGTTGTGAGGATTCATAAGAAAGAATGTCTCTTACACATTTTTAACTCAGATGAATGAGAGAGATGTTGTATAAGAGAAAACTACAGTCTGTGCAAAATAGAGAAAATGAGTGTGTGTACCCATTATACACACAGACCTAAAATGTATGTTCAAAGCATCTTGGGTCTTACCAATTTAGAAATGTTACTTGTTTCCAGGTTTCATGGCTTAATTTATTTTCTGTTCCTATATACCAAAGAGGCTTTACAAGTTCTTTGATTACTGTTAGGAAAACTTGCTGGTAGGACTGCATGGATAATTGCTGGACTTTTCAGTCTTTGCTGTAGTTACAAGCTTGAGATAACTTTAAGAAAAAGTCGCTTGCTACATCGGTTCTTTGAAGTAACCCTTTGGCCCTTGGTGATGAAATGACATGTACTTAGTTAGTGGCTCCCCTTAAGTTAGTTCCCAACTTGTTCTTCTCCAGACTATGCCGAGCTGAGCAGATTCTGCTCTTAGAACTTCGTGCTCTGTGAGGGACCATCATTCTCTAGGCCCTTGAAGAAGGATTTTTCTTTGCTTGAACCCAGCAAGGACCAAATCCAGAATTCCATTTCTTTTTTTGAAGGCCACATGTTTTGTCCTTTCAACAGCTTTTACTGTGGCATGTGCTCTTGGGTGGCAGGTTAATTACTATACCCATGTTTCATGGACCAGAAGGCTACATAGGTATCAGGGTGTAATTATTTACTCGTCCTTTTAGATCCCCAAGTGCATTATCTTCATTTGACCAAGCCCCAATCCCAGGCTACCCTAGACCTCCAGGTCCTAAGGTGGCGCTGTGACATTTTGCTGCTATTCAGTTGCCCTGGATACTGTGTTTCATTATCTGGTTTCTAGAAAAGTATGATGGCATTCCTATGGGAGCAGGTGAAAAATCAGTTCTACCTTAACCAGGGCAGACATCGGCAATGACTTGTGGGGAGAACACAAAAATATTTGAGGGCAGGATTTGAGTACGTATGACTTCCGTCTGATATCATGAGCTTCAGTTTCATTTACAATATATAAACTTAGCAATAACTGTGTACAGTACAGAAAATTAGATGGATAAGTTCACGGCTTCTCTGGCATTCACTTTGAAGTTGACATCACTAATTCCTTCTAAATAATAAAGTGGTGGGAGATGCTTTTTTCTATTTCAAAGTTTTTAAATGGATATATATATATATATTCTTATCCAGAAAAAGGGTCCTGTGAAACGTGGGCCCAGAACTGTGTAAAATGGAGCAGCGTTTCTTCAGCCAGCCTGGTGGCCACTCACAGGACTCCTCCGTGCATCAGATTGGGTTGAGTTTACAGGGAATGAGTAGTACTAGGAGCCAAATCTATTTTTACAAGGTCAGTAAATGATGACATGGACCTGACTGTTCCTTAGTACAGATTGCTACTGATGCCTAAAAGGTGGTCAGTTTCATTAGTCCTGCCTTTCCCACCATTTACATAATATTCTTCCTAATTCAGGAATGAGGGGGGGAAAGTATATATAGAAATATATTCCTAAACCTATAGGTTATTAATACAAATATCTTTGTTTAAGGCTCGATGAAACCTTAGCCCCAACTCACCATAGGCAATCACCTCTCAGTAATGAGTCCAGTAAACCACTGTCCCTCCTTGGCACTTTGTTACTTACTGCCTGGGGTAGTTTCTGAGCTCCTATTCTATGTGGCTTTTGTACTAAGTTAGGGATGCTCTAAAAATCTGAGTGTTTCTTCCGTGGGGGGAAGCTGTGTCATTGTTCTACTGTTTCCCTGCTCCTGCAAAGGTTTGATCACTTGGGATGGGCTAGGGACATCTGTTTTTACCAGGATCCACCTGGAGAAGTCCTGTGTGCCTGACTCTTGGAAACTACCCCAGACCCAGGATGTATTCAATTAATGGAGTAATTATTCTACTCTTCTTTTTACATGAAGAAAATGTTTATTTAAATATTTTTAAATGAATTTTCTTTCACAGATATTGATTATTCTTTCCAATTCTTAAATAAAATTATTCTTGATTTCAATATGAAGAATGTGTGGGGTTTAAAACATTTCTCTTAAACTGCCTTGGATGATTTCGCTTGGAGAAACTGTTAATATGAAGTCACTTCACTTGAAAAAGCATTAACTTAGCATCTGCTATGACCAGGCATGGGCATACGAAGACAAAAATGAAACATTCCCCATCTCCAGGGGGTGTCTGTCTGTCTGTCTGTCTCTCTCTCTCTCTCTCTCTGTCTGTCACACACACACACACACACACACACACACACACACACACACACACACACATGCACTGTATACAGATCTGGTGGGTGGAGGGGAGGGAGAAGCAGTGACAGCTGGGGGAATCAGGAAAGGCCTCGCGTAGGTGGTAGCTGAGTTGAGAGTCCAAGAGACAGGCGAGGAAGGAGAACATTCCAGGTATGGGGCCAGCCTATGCAAGGCCCAGAGATGGGGGCTGAGAAATCCTGCTCATCTGGAATGGGGCATTTGTGAAAAAGAGGAATAATGAACGAGGCAGAAGGGCTTTAAATGCCAAGCTCTGGAGTTTACAGACAAGGGAGCCATGGAGCTTCTGGAGCAGGGGAATGGCATGGCCATACCAGTGTTTCTGGAGTGTGGGCCTGACAGCTGAGAGGAGGAGGGATAGGAAAGGGCTAAAGACTGGAAGCAAGGAGTCCAGTGAGAGGTGATGAGGGTTAGGTTAATGGCTCAGGTGCAAGGTAGAATTGTAGCAACAGAATCAATAGGACCTGAGGAAATGGCCAGGAGGGGTACCGTCAGGCCGTGGGCATAGAATAGTGAAATCTGTCTGGGCAAGTCTTGGTCTTGTCCTACCTGGTTTAATATTTCATGTCACACTGGACTTGGAGTCAGAAAACCTGCAAGGCTTAGGGCCACTTCTACTAGCTGATAGCCATGAGGCTGGGGTTAAAATCTCAGAGGTGTGATACTGGAAAGAGTACAGGACTGAGAACTAGGTCCTGTCCCGACACGTGTGTGTGTGTGTGTGTGTGTGTGGTGTGTGTGTGCGTGACGATCTTGGACGAATCACAACCACTATCGAACCTTTCTAAAATGAGTATTCTCAATATCATTTGCCTACCTTAAAGGTTTTGATGTAATCAAAAATAAACTCATCCATCTCTGTAACTATAGTTACCAAGAGGAGGGAATGTTTGACATGAGCTACTTGCTACTCAGCAACCAGGAAAGCTAGCTCTGTGATGGACCAGTGTGAGCTAGGGTCTTACTGAGCCATGGGGTGTGTGGGAGATGCAAATTAATTTGGGATCATGCAGATTAGTTTCTTTTAGAATATAAGAAAGCTTTCATCCAAGTGGTTTACTGGTAAGTGATATCTGCTGAACTATGCTTTAATGTAGCAAGTGAACAAATGATAATGGCAATATCTGGGGGAGAAATTGAACACAGAACTTTCTCTTTGAGGAGATAGCCTCAATAGTTCTTCCGGCCAAACACGCTTTAGGCAAGACTTCCCGATAAGCACATCCCCTGCTAAAAGAGAAGAGAATCTGGAGAGACTTGTGCCCTCCCCCTTTGCTGAGCCCATACATTAAAGAATAGAATTTTCCAAAGGATATTGCCACAATAGGAAGGCTTTGGCTGAGAAGTTGGAATTATCCATCCCAGAAGAGAGGTGTTGGCAAAACCTTACCCAAAAACTGGGAGCTGGAACGGATGGCAGAGAGCTCTAGTTGAGGTAAGGGATTATTATTGACACATTGCCAAATGGGGACAGATTTTCACTTTGGTTTGAAATTAATTGAATGGAGGAGAGTTTCTAAATCTCATTTCCCCAAATGGGAAATAGTTGTGTTTTAAGCTATGGCTCACTTGGGGGTGTGTAAAGGGAGAAAAGGGCAAAGTTAGCTCAAGCAAGGATAAAACCTTAATTTGAAACCCTGATAGCTAAGTTCACAATTTATTTTTGGCAAAATTATCCATTATGTTTGGTAAGTGCGACAGAAGGAAACTTTTCTTTAAATCTACTTTTTTAAAAAAAGCCTGATAAGTCCCTTTGGCTAAGCTGTGGGTTCTTTGTTACTGGTGGTTTCCATCCCATATTTCTCTTTATTTTTGTTAAAGGCCATTTGTTAATAGCCTTTATTTTTCAGGAGTTCTTCTGAGAGTCTGTTCAGAATTTGGTTGTCCCCTTTGTTGGGCTCCAGCATCTTCTCTCTTCTCTTCAGAGCTACTAGTTGACTCACTTCTACAGAAGCAAATGTATATGAAATATATATAATTGCCACACTGCCCCTCTTCCCTCCAACACTCCTCATTTCATTGTATCACAAGATTCCTGGGAATCAGCAGTTGGAGAATGAAGCTTGACATGTCCCTTGCAAATGGGTCTTACCAAGGGCATCTTGTCCACACATTATTTCTTTTTATTTTATTTTATTTTATTTTTAGTGAGGCAGTTGGGGTTAAGTGACTTGCCCAGAGTCACACAGCTAATGAGTGTTATGTGTGTAGAGCCGGATTTGAACTCAGGTCCTCCTGACTCCAAGTCCAGAGCTCTATCCACTGCGCCACCTAGCTGTCCCCCAAACTTAACATTTTTCAACTACTGTTCAGAAAAGAAAAAAAAAACACCCTCCTTTTCTCATTGATCTGTTTCTCTAGAAAAGACCTTTCATCTACCTGGTTTGATTCTCATTGATCACCACCACGTCTTCATATATTTTGTGCAAATTCTCTGACTGCTCATCAATAGGTTCTTGGAATCTGTCAGAAAGAGAGTCTCTTAACTGTAACCCTTTGAAAGAACCAAAGTTGGCAAGCTCACTTTTTACATTGCACTTACAAGTTTAAACAAACACATAGCTAACGGTGAATTAATTCCCTTCTTGCCCAGGTCACCAGGACCGTCTTGAGGAGCCAACTACATTTCCAAGGCTGTCAGACCTTTCATTCTTCCTGCTGAAACTGACCACATATTACTGATCTTTCTGGCAGGGCTAGTGATCTCACATTTTGTACTTTCTGAAGTCCAGGGTCCTGTGGAAGATCTCACCCGATACAGATGGAGCATGGCCCTGCCAGTTTTCTGACTGATAATGTTTTAGAAGCCACCCCACCCACCTTGCATCTCACATAGCCTCCTCCACAAAAGCTTGTGCCAGTCTAAACCTGCAGATCCAGCAGCCACACTTGTTCAAGAGGGGTGAGGAGTCATCTCCTCTTCTTACCTGGGCTCTAGCCGTTCCTTCACCTTAGCAATGGAACGGACATAAGGAGTGATCTGCTGGGTGATATTGATCAAATAGCTGTTCTCCTGTCTCAGCTGGAACAAATCATAGAGCTGGGCTGCCCAGAACAAGAAAGTTCAGTTTGAGGCAAGGGGACCAATTAAACTTTTATAGTAGCTAGCATTAACACATTTGCAAAGAGCTGTACAAATGTCTCCTCACAACCTGTGCTGTTATTGGTCCCTTTTTACACATAAGGAAACTGAGGCAGAGGTTAAGTGGCTTGCCCAGGGTCATATAGCTAGTTAGTGGAGCTAGTCAGGCTAGATTTGGACTGATGTCTTCCTGACTCCAGGACCAATGCCCTAGCCACATTTCCACCTAGCTGCCTCTAGGTTCTTAGTGTGAATTTGAAATATCCATCTCCTTTGCTTAATTTAGTACCTTTCTCACTTATTACCTACTTCATCTTGGGAGAGGAGGGGAAGGATAATAGGGCAGTCAATGAGAATATTTCGTTTACTGCAGACTCAGATGAAGTCCTAGCAGTGCAATTTTCTGGGATATTTTATTTCATATTTTAAAAAATGTTTTATGGGTGCTTAAGAAAAATCAATGTCACTTCCCAATGACTCTTTCCTCCTCCTAACCCTCTTACAGTTAAACAGAATAAATCAGCCCCTGGAGCATGTCTGAAGGGGGATGTTTCATTCTGCATTTGTATTTGGCCATTTCTCTGATGTGAGGTAGGAGGCGTCCTTCCTACTCAGATCTCTGAAATAATGATTGGCGCTGTCACCCGATACATTTCCTTTTCAATAAGACTGCAGTATTTCTCCTCCTAGTTATGTTTCTCTAGTGTGTACATGTGTGTGTGTGTGTGTGTATATATATATATATATATATATATATATATATCTCCTTCATACAGGAAATTTGTTAGAGTAAGGCAGGGCAGTTAATTCACTTGACAGCACAATTGTTTGGGTACCTTCATAAATTTCTTGCTCATTTGCCACTCTCTGATAGGTTTCCTCCCATGTCTGAAAGAAAAAATGAGAGAATTGTTAGACTGAACTGCCCAGCAGAGCACTGTGCCATAATAACAACAGGTAGAATTTATATACTGCTTTAAGCTTTGCAAAGATCTGTACAAATATCTCACAACAACCCTGCAAAACAAATTCTTTTATTACCTCACTTTACAGAGGTGGATGCTGAGACAGGACAAGGACAAGGGACTCACTTGCCCAGGGTTAGGTAGCTAGTGTCTGGGACCGTATGTGAACTCAGGTCTTCCTGACGCCAGGCTCTATCTACTGAGTAACCCAGCTGGTGAACACTGGGGAGCGTGTCTGGGTGTAGTAGCGGTCGGTCACTGAGTCACTAATCTACCCTGTGCTCTCTAGCGCCCCCTGTTTGAGGGGATATCTGCTTTTACTAGGTAGTAAAGACCACTTGCTTCCCACATACATGCAAATGAAATAATGGATCAATTCCTTTTTGAGCTGCAGCCTCCCCCACTGTGTATATTTTGGTGGAGGAGAAAAGAGATGTTGGGGACATTTCCCCTGAAGGCCTCTTACCTCTTCAAAGACAGGCCTCATCCTTTCTACCGAGGCATACTTGGAAGCGATATGCCCATCCACCTGTAGGGATTTCTGCAGGATGTCACTCATAATTTCTGCCTTGATGAGGGAATGGTGCTTGGTGAGGTCCCGATGTAATTCTTGCACTTGATCTTTCAGGTTCTGGATCTCAGATTGCAGGGTCTGTGTTCAGAGAAGCCCAGGTTTGGGGGTGGGGGTAGGAAGGAAATAAACATTTATATATTGCCTACCACATGCTGGGTTGTGCTAAGCACTTTAAAGATATTATGTCAACAACCCTGCAAGGCAGGTGGAGATTAGAATTCAGGCTTTCCTGACTCCAGGCCCTGTGTTCCATTCAATAGTCCATCTAGCTCCCTGGGTAATTACATTTGGTCCGAGTCGTGTCTACTACCCAGACAGAAGTGAATGTGCTTAGAGGTGCTCTAAGAAAGGGTTTCAGGGTGCTAGAGCAACTAAATTTTTCCTTTCTCTGCTTCCGTGGTCACCAGGGTTTTTGCCCCTTCTAATGATGCCGTAGTCCAGTACCCCTCAATGGCAGAGAAACCAGCATTTGGTGGATGAAAGGAATCCAGATTCAAGAGACTTTTTGTTGTTCAGTCCTTTCAGTCATGTCTGACTGTTAACGACCCCATTTAGGGTTTTCTTGGCAAAGATACTGGAGTGGTTTGCTCTTTCCTTCCTCTAGCTCATTTTACAGATGAGGAAACTGAGGCAAACAGGGTGAAGTGCCCAGGACCATCCAGCTAGCAAATGTCTGAGACCAGCTTAGAACTCAGGAAGGAGTCGTCCAGGGCCGGCACTCTGTGCACTATGGCGCCACCTAGCGGCCCATCACGAGAGTAGCCTGCAATTGGATGGACATTTCCATGAACGCTCTCAGGATAAATTGCAAAGGTATTTGTCTTTTCAGGAACCCTCACATGCAGAATTTGATCCTAGTCATGCGGGAGGGGAGAGGTGTCTTCCACTAGACACGAGGAGAAGCCGGGCTGCTCAGCTGACCCCTCAACCTCCCTCCCTTCCAGGCCCTCACCCTGTATGTCTCCTCATAGTGGCGGCAATGCTCTGCGAAGGGGGTGTCACTTCCCTCAGCCAGCAGCACCTTGGTGCTGACGGATCGATGCAGTGTGGGCTTCTGGATAGGTGACCCAGACATCTTTCCACCTGGGGATGGGCAGCCAGAACTAAGCAGGGCCTTGGTAGTGGAACACCCAGATAGCCTGTGGAGAGAGAGCATGGATGGCTTGGGGGAGAGGATTGGAGATGGATTAACTATATGCTCCACCCCCAACACCAGCTGCTCAGTTCAGTATAAATTGAGCCTTTATCAGCGAGGCTTGGGAGAAGGTTTATCAGTGCAAGTCATTTGTGAAGGACACATTTGTACATTGGCCCCTGCTCAGCCCTGCCCAGTGAATCAGTGCTGCTGCCCTAAACTGGATCCAGAGAGCGTGAGTGCTCATACAGTGGTTATGTGGAAGGTGGATTTGAGGCCTGCTGCTTTTCTCAAGTCCCACTTTATTTCTTCCATATCCAGCTATCATTTTTCAGGCAGAAAAGTGTTTTGTCTAGATGTATGGTGTGTGCAGGGCACAAACCCATTGTTGGAAGAGAGCCTCATGCTGTGTAGACTGGTCCTCCCCCAACTCAGGTAAATAGAATGTGGGGAGTGGAGCTCCTCATCTTCCCTTGAGGTTAGACCTTGCTCCCCGTCCTGGGGACTGAGTCAAGGATGTTGGGGGAGCCCAAAAATCAGCTATTGGCCATCCATCCACCAGCCTCTCCCTCAGCTTCCTTCCTCTTGTCTGGGCCTGCTTAGCCCCTGAGCCAACCTTGTCCTGAACTCCCCCAAACCATTCGAGTGCTGCCTCCCAAGCCTTTTAGGGTTCCCATGATTCTTCTTTTTTTTTTAATAAGATCACTTTATTCCTGTACCTTCTAATTTTTTTTGGGGGGGGGTAAAGCTTTTGGAGTTAAGTGACTTGCCCAGAGTCACACAGCTAGTGAGTTCACATTTGAACTCAGGACCTCCTGACTCCAGGGCTGGTGCTCTATCTGCTGAGCTACCTAGCTGTGCCCTTCCCATGATTCTTAAGGAGTTTTCATTCTTCCTGCCTTAAAGATGCAGCCAGTGTTTGAGAGGGCAGAGATAAGATCCTCCACAGCCAGTGTCTTTTGCAAATATCTGTCTGCATTGCCTCCCGTCCCCATGCCCCATCCCAGCCGCCCTCCCGATCTTATAGCTTCTGTCCTGGCGCCGCCAAGAGGCAAATCCAACGAGGCGGGTTCTGCAATACCAGTCCGAAGGCGGATGATGCTTCCATCACTTCAGCTCCTCACCCCATGGAAAAGCTAAAAGTTTCATGGCGCAAGCCCCTGCTAGCGAACTCTTCCTCCTTCCTCCCTCTTCTCCCCACCTGCCCCTGACACCTGTATCAAAGAAGTCTATATATGGCCAGGTAGAACAGGACTGAAAATAGGGCCAGGAGGGGCCAGGAGAGCTAGATACCCCAGGGCTCTCCAGACTTCTAGCCTCTTTCCTTTCTGGACTTCGACCTCTGCTCATCGCTTCTGGGGAAGGAAGAGCCCAAGCTGAGCGATTCCCGACCCCTCCCGTTGAGGGAGGTGTCCCCTATCCACATTTGGGCGTTTTCAGGAAGCGCTGGCTTGGACCCCCACAGAGACCTTGTCCACTGGTCTCCACAGCGTGTCCACCCCCTAACCCTGGGCTCCAGTGCTCTGAGCCAGCATGGGCTGGCAGTGACCTCTGGGCTGGGCTGAGGGCTGAGGTCTGTGGGGATAGGGAAGGGGACACACCCTACCCACACTCCTCACATGGCGGCTGCAGCCCCAGTCGCCGGCGCCCGGCGCGCACCCAGCAGCAGCAGCGGCTCCAGACAGCGGGCGAACTCAGCGCGGTGGTCGCTGGTGATCTGTGGGGCCATAGCAGGGCGGGGGGGTTAGGAGCGGAGTATTGGAGTCTGGAAAGTCTCAAACTGGGAACGTCCTGGCTCAGTGCCCCTCCTCCCAGGTCCCTGCCTACATCCAGCCTTTTCCTCCCCCCCCCCCCCCCCCCGGCTCCCTGATCTGCACCTTACTGCTCTGCGCCGGCTGCAGGCGATGGGGCCGAGTGACTATGCCCTGTAGCCGGTCCATCAGTTCCTGTGGCAGCCGGGATGGGGGACGTTTTCAGGACCCTGGGATCTCACAGCCTCAGGGGATCCTCTATTCCGACCTGTCCCCCCTTCCCCCACCCTCCCGGTCATTTCCTAGCTAGTCAAAAGCTGGCTGGCCTCCTGGAGTCAGGAAAGACGGAAATGAGTACAAAGAGGGGTGGGAGACGCCCAGGTCAGTTTATGCCATTTTCCTCCAGGTGGCAACCACTCAGCCCTGCTCCCACACTCAATCCAGCTCTTAGGGAGTGCAGGGAATAACCTGGAAAGGTCCCCTCCAGTCAACCTACCATATTCTTGGAGTAGCCTTGCCCTGAGGTGCCAGGGGCAGCAGATACTGCTGAAGCAGACAGGTCTGCACTAAAGACTTTTCTGTCACCCAAAGGAGTTTGTCCCAAATCCCTTGCCGCCCACTCTCTTTTCCTTTTCCCAAGCAGCTCAGTACTCCCATGCCGTCCTCCATCTACCCAAAGCTCCCCATTATCCTACCATTAGAGTCTCCTCTCTCTTCCCAGCTCCCAAGCCCTAAATCCTCATCCCTTCAGAGGAGCTGTTCTGAGGAAAGAAATCTAGTTATTTAATCAAAATCAATCACTATAACGGGAATGATGTCTCTGAGCCCCCAAGGCTGCCATTTGGGTCTTAAAGATCCTGGAGAGAAGGGACTGCTTTCAGTTCTGTCTTCATTTCCCCAGCACCTGGTTCCTAGCATGTGTTTCTTAGATTATTTTTTCTTGAATTCAGTGGAAAAGGAGTTGGTCAACCCAAATGATTGTGCACCTGGTAAAAAATGTGGGGAGATGCTTTGAGCTGTTCTCCCTCTGGCCCCCCCCCCCTGCTCCCACTTTCATCCTCAGAAAAGTCCTGGACAGGACGGCAAGGCAGTTCAGAAAGGTTGCCAAGCCCTGACCTAGATGTGAAAACCATTTCATTCCTGAGGATCCCTCCACAGGGTGACTCACATATCCCAGGTCCAGGAATTCTGCCTTGTTGGCTGAGCTGAGAAAAGCTGAGCAGGTGACCAGGTGGACCTATGGGGACAAGGTAGTGCCCACCACTGACCATCCACAGTGGGAGTCTGAATGGAAAGGATGAATCCCAAGGAATGATGCCGAACTCCTTGGAAGAGGAAATTCTTTATGCAGAAGAGCTGACAGGCCCAAACAACAAAAAAATTGCATACCATTTTTATTTGTGTACAAATCATGTTCCCCTCTTGCCAGCTGAGCTCCAAGGGGGCAAGGGCCTAGTCTCATTTAAACTCTGTACCTTTCCCGGTTTAGGTCAGGGCTCAGAATGCAAGACCTCAGTTTTCTCAACTGTAAAATGGGAATAATAACTGCACCTCCCTTGCAGGGCTGTGAGGATCAAATGAGGTAATATTTGTGAAATACTTACCACAGCGCCTGGGACATAGTTGGTGCTATGTAAATATTTATTCCCTTCCCTTTCCTCATTTCATGAACGTTTGTTGAATGTTGAGGGAAATTCAGGTGGCATGCAAATTCCGGGTGAGGGAAAGGGGAAGGGGAGTGTTGCCCAGATGTCCCAAAACAACCCCCCAGCCACGGGCTAGTTCCTTGGCTGTGCTCCCTTCTGGTCATCAGGAAGCTGACTCTGGCTCTTTACCTGCAGTGTGGGCAGCAGGGATACCAGCTGGGAGAGCTGATCCTTGAAGGCCTTGTCCTTCTCTTCGTACTGGCTGAGGAGGCAGGAGAGGTAGGTCAATGAGCACCCTGGATCCAGGGGTCAGCATGAGGAAGGGGGAAGAGAAGGGAATAAGTGTTATACAGCACCTACTATGTGCTGAGCACTTCATCAATATCTCATTTGATCATCACAACAACCTGCAAGGCAGGTGCTGTTAGGATCCTCATTTTACAGTTGAGGAAACTGAGGCAGACACAGGTTAAGTGACTGCTCAGGGTCACACAGCCAGTAAGTGAATTTGAACTCAGGTCTTCCTAACTCGAGGCCCAGCAGTACTCAGTGCACCACCTAGATGCCTTCACTTAAACTGAATTCACTCAAGAACTCTGAGGATTCACTCTCTGGGTCCCTAAACCCCCTCGCAGTGCAAAAGGAGAAGGTTTGTGATTTAAGATCTGGGCTAATCCCCTGGGCCCGGGATATGGGAGTGATAGCTGGTGGTGGCACACATCTATACATCTTAGAAAATGGCCCTTTCCCTTCTGGAGAAGATGCCCCTTCGTAAGAGTTTTCCTGAAGACAGTGACAAACACTGCGGGTGCTCAGTCGAGGAGACCTGCTGTACTTCATTGTAATGTCTAGGGAGGGTGCTAGGGAAGTCCTGTGTGGTGGGAGCAGTGGACTTGGGGCGAAAGACCAACTCTGGTGTGTGACCCTGGGCAAGTCACTTAGTTTTTCTGAGCCTGAGTTTCCTCAGTTAAAACAGGGACAAGAACACCCTCGCTACTTACCTCACAGGATTGTGTGAGGCAAATGCTTTTTCAACATTTAAATGAATCAGTGTGAATTGTTCTTATTCTTGGCCCTACCAACCTCCTCACTGCCTTCAGTAACAATGCCTTCCTCTCCGCCAGCTTCTCCTACAAGAAACCAATAACGCAGCAATCTGAATTTAGGTGGGGGTAGAGGGTTGGGACAGGGGTAGAGGAGAAGTAGAGGAGAAGCTTGCCTTTGGACAGGAGGACAGAAGCCTGCAACTATTGTGCAAAAAGAGCAGCCTGGGTTGTCTTTGAGAGGGTAGATAATTCCCGAGCACTGAAGGTCATCAAGTAGATACTGTAGAAGGAGCTCGGGGTGTGGGTTGGGCCAAATGTCCATTTGAGATTCTTTCCAGCTCCAAGAATTCTAGGCTCTTAATGATCTCATAACCACCATCATACTCCAGTGGGCCCTCAGGAAGAGCCACAATCGATGTTGTCTGGCCCTTGGATGAGAGGGGGAACTTACCTGCATGCTGCTGAACAGGGTATGGATGGCACTCTCCTCCTCGGCTGCACTGCGCCTCACCTCCTCCACCATGGTCTGCAGCAGGGTGATTGCCTCTCGAGTGGAAGTCTGCAAAGCCTTCACAGCCTTGGGAGGAGGGGAGCTGTTCAGCAGGCTAGGCAGGCCTGGGGTGACTGATCCCTCCTCGTCTTACTTTCCCCCAATCCCCAGAAGCCAGTGCCAACTACTCACCATGACAGTCTGGTCCAGCTTCTCACAGCCCTGCACATAGGCTGTCTCTATGTCAATACAGTGTGCCCGGCTTTCCCTGCAAAGATGGCCTGCCTCAGGGAACTCCCACACTTCCCTTCATAGGGTCTACAAATCTCTCCCTTGTTCTCCTGATATCCTGGTTCCCGGGCCTTGGGCTCTACTGAAGGACTCAAATGATATTCAGTTTGTGTGGTTATCAGACTGGATTCTTTCTCACCTCCAACCCATCCTGGGGAAGGGCTGAAGCTCAACCCTACCCAAATAACTCTGGGGTCTGGCCTCAAGTGCAAAGATGGCTCAAAACCAGAGGTTGATCAATTCAAGGTCCTCCAGTGGAATGGAAAATCCTCCGAGGTAGAGACTGTTTGGTATTCCATTGACTTGTGCACCTTCTCTGCTATGTACAGGCTTATGGACTGTCACGGGCACTTAAGTGACGTGCTAAGGGTCACATAGCTAGAAAGTGTCTGAGGATGGATTTGAACTCAGGTCCTCTTGACTCCAATACACAACTTTTTAATAAATAAGTGGTTATTGAGTTGCAATCCACAATGGAGTGGGATCCATTTCTCTTTTCCAGTCTTACCTTTCTTTATTTTCCTCCAATCTACTCTCCACTTAAACTGGACTAGACTCTTCCACCTCCTCTCTCTAAGAACCCAACATTATCCAGCCTCCACCACATTCTTTTCTCTGTGTGGAATTTCTCATCATTCAACTCTTTCCCTGGTGTGTTCCTACCTCTCCTTTAAGGCCCAACCCAAACTCTTCTTCCTCCAAGAAGTTTTTCCTGATCTCTCCAATGCAGTGATAGTCATGATCTCCCACTCCGTACCTCACATAGTACTTAAGAAACGTTGCTTATCACTAGTGTGGTCTTAACTTAGTAGACTGTCAGGTCCATGAGAACAGGAACAAGATATCTCCCCTAGAGTCCAGCACGATGCTTTACAAACAGAAGGTGCTCAATCGATGTTAGTTGAAGGATGGGAAGAGGGAAGGAAGGAGAGAATGAAGATAGAAGGGAAAGAAAGAAGAAAGGGAAAGATAAAAGGCAGGGAGCCAGGGAAGGAAAGAAGAAAATGAGGGATGAAGGGAGAGAGGGATGGAAGGAAGGAGGAGGAGAGGGGAACAAGGGAGGGAGGGAAAGAAAGGAGGAAAAGGAGAGAAGGGAAAAGGGGAGGGAGAGAGGAGGGAAGGACCCACATACCCCTGCATGTCCCGGAAGCATCGAATGCAGAGCATGGACTTCTTGTCAGTAGAGAACATAATGTAAGGCTCTCCATGCAAAGCTGTAATAGGGAGGCAAGTTCATTGGCTGGGGGGTGGCATCAGTAACAGGGTGTTCAATTCTCCTTTGTTTCATTTGGAGACAAGGGCTGGACACTCACAGCACTTCTTGTGGGTGTCCTTGGTACGTTTGCCCAGGGCCACAACATCGTGGCGTGAGAACATCTTGGCCTTGTGAGTCTCCTCCCGGCAGTGGGCACAGAGTGGCTGACCACAGGTGTTGCAGAAGTAGGTAGTTTCTGCATCCTAGGGAGGAGAGTGAAGAGAAAAGTGTGGGATAGATAGACTGAACATGGGTCAGGCTGGCTTGGCTGGTGGCCCCAAGCCAAGGTAAGAGGAGGACTTCATCCAGGAATATGGGCTGTAATTTAGGGCTTATGTCTGCATTTATTCAGGCTAGGGAGGAAACAGCTGGGACGTGAATCCTGGAAACTGGCTGGAGGGACAGGCTTGTTGTAGAGGTCATTTATTCATTCAACAAACACTAATTAGTTAACCCTTCCACATCTTGACTTTTACCTTTGAAGTTTTGATAAATTGCCAGATGGCATAAGAAATGGGAATTTGGGGGGAATTTTTTGAAAGCTGTAGATGACATGCTAGGGCCAGCAGACGACACAGAGCCTATGACCAAATACTTAACCCAAACTTTACAATAAGGTAATGTAAACACCTCAAAAAAAAAAAGACAAAAAATCAGATTTCTTTTTTGGCATAAAGGGAGGGCCAAAAAGTTGTATGTGAATTTTCCAGATTGGGGGGGCCCTGTGCCCCTAACACTCCCACCACCTGTGAAAGGGATAACTGTACAGACTTTTAGAGGTCTTGGTATCGCAATGTTTTTGAGGGATAGATTATCTTAGATCTTCAAGGGGATTGAAGGCTTTAGAGCCAGTTAGAACCTCTAGAGAGTTCCAGTTTGCAGATGAGAAGACTGAAGCCTAGTGTAGAGGTAAAATAATGTGCTTAAACTCACAGACTAGTAAGTGGTAAAGAAGAAACTTGAACCCAGGTCTTCTGATTCTAATCCTAATCCCTGCCCACCCCCAACTAACAGCTGCTCATATTTCCATAGCTCTTCAAAGACTCTCCAGATGTTTTTGTCACAACATTCCAATGAAGTAGGGGCTGGAAGTATTATTTTCTCTATTGTGCAGATAAAGAAAGAAAAGTTATGTGACTTGCCCAGGGTCACATCAACTTTCCCACCCCGAAGTTCTTTCCATCACAGCAGGTGGTCATCCCACTCTGGTCTGAGCCCCCAGGAAAGTATGGTTGGTCTTGGGGAAAGGACCTGGGGAGGGGGGTGGGAATTCAGCGACTCATCGATAGTGAGTGTTGAAGGACAGGAGGTTAAGCCCGGCAGTATGGTTCAGTGGAAAGAATACTGAATTTGGAAACAAAGACCTGGGTTCAAATTCCACTCCCCCCTTCTCCTTACTAACTGAATGATTGAGACAAGTTGCTTGCTATTGGCTTCAGTTTTCTCATGTGTAAAATGAAGGGACTAAATAATCTTTAAAGTCTGTTGTAACCCTACATAAATGATCCTATCTCCTAGCATTGTTGAGAGAGTCGGATTAGACGTGTGTAAAGTGCTTAGCAAATCTTAAACTTCTATCTAATGCTACTAATATAGCACTATATTTATTTATTTAAAAAAGATTTTTTTTTTGGCTAGGCAATGGGGTTAAGTGACTTGCCCAGGGTCACACAGCTAGTAAGTGTTATGTGTCTGAGGCTGCATTTGAACTCAGGTACTCCTGAATTTAGAGCCGGTGCTCTATCCACTGCACCACCTAGCTGCCCCCTAATACAGCGCTATATATTAGTATTAGATTGTGAGCTCTTTGAGAGCAGGTCCCACCCCTGGTCTTTTACCTTAATTGTTATTATTATCGCCATTTCTTTGCACAGTGCCTGGCACATGGCACATAGGCACTTGGTAAGTGTTTATTGACTGAATTATTACAGGTAAGGTATTATTTCTTTAGGATAAACGAGATCGGCACCCCAAGCCACGGCTTCTCCTTGTATGTCTCTCCTCCCCACCCTCAACCCTCTCTCCTCCTTGCCTGGCTCGGGCATTCCAGGTCGCAGTTGGCACAGCGCACAGCCTCTTCGCAGTCAGAGGAGCCATCCACCAGGAATTGCAGGAGCCGGTCCACCGGCGGCAGCCCATTGGTTCCCTTCACCACGGACGGGTGGCTGCAGGCATGGGAGAGGCTGGAGGCAAGCCCCAGCCGGGCGCCCCCTCCCTGGCCCGAGCCCTCACTTTCCTCCTATCACTTATTCACCAGGACCTAAAAATAGTTGAGAGGCACCCGGGAAAATGGTCGGTCACCTGCCTCTTATTTTCGCTATAAATAGCTTCCGTTCCACTCCCCACTTTTATCGCATCCCCTTGGCCTGGCAGAATGCGTTCTCATGTGGGACTTCTGGAATTCGCGATCTCAAAGCGTAGAAAAGCCTGCCTTCTCTCTCGCTACCCTTCTTACACAAGTTCCCTCTCTTCCTTTGCACAAGTACTTTAACCTGGTCAGGGTGATTTCAATATTCACTCAACCGAAGTGGTCACGGAAAATTTGGGTTGTTTGGACACAAGACTTTAGGGTCCAGGAAATCAGTGGTATAGAGCGGGTTGGTAAAGTCAAGATATCAGATTTCGATGATGACTTAGCAGAAACTTAGGTGTTTAAGCGCCCGCAATCATGGCAGGGTGTGGCGGTGTATAGCTATCCTATCTGGAGCCCTCCTGCGGGGATCACATTCCAGAGCAGGTGCCCCCTCTTCTCCCCATCCCCCTCTCTGCAGCCACCGCAGGGGAAGCCGGGTGTGAAAGGAAGAAGTAAGACAGAGCTGCGCCTAAGTGAAGACACCGCGCGCAGACGCCTCCCAAAACAGAAACGCCTGGCCTTCTCGGGCACCTCCCTCCCCCGCCCCCAGTTTTGGGAGCTTCGATCTCCACCGGGGTATCCTCGAGGGTGAGGGGCCAATTTCGGGAAAGGATTGAAGATTGTCACGTAGACATTGACAGAGACGCCCTGGCAGCTGCAGCCACGAACCAGGGCTGCCCCCAACATTGCGCCCAGCTCCGCTCTCCACTCCTGTGCTCTAGTCGTAGAATTCCCTTCCTGCAGACCTGTCCCTAGCTAAGAAGCCCTGGTCTCAGACTCATTTTTTTCTCGAATTCCTGTTAGCGCAAAACGACTCGAATTGCGCCTGGCTTTGGCCAGACCCGAGGACACACTCCTCACCCACAAAGAGGGCATGCTAGACGGCCATCGACGGCCCGGCCCCGCAGGCAGCTGGCACAGAAGTTGTGGTAACAGTCTAGCAGGCACGGGTGCTCATACTGCTCATGACACAGGAAGCAGACGAGGGGGTGGCCATTGGAGGCGTCCAGGGCAGCGAGGCTCTCCAGAGGCCAGAAGATTTCACCTGACATCTGCTGGGAATTGGGAGGTGGATCGGTTGGGAGAGGAGAAGGTACAGGGGAGAGACCGAGTCAAGTCTGCCCCGCTGTGCGTTGACCTCTGCTTCAGAGGACAACTGCCTGGGGTCATAGGGATGGTGGGAGTAACATCAAAGGGCCAGAAGGCAACCTGCAATCACTGCGGCTCAGCGCTGAGGGTTAGGGGAGTGTCAGCCTTAGCTCTGCCGACTCCAGTGCCCTGGCAAACACAACTCTCCCTTACTGGCTGCCTTCCGTCTGGACCGTGGACCGCTGCAGCCCCGGCAGAGCCGGAGAATTGGAGAGAGACTCCTGGCGCCTACGGCTCAGGGGAGGTCATGAATGGGGTTGAATTTGTGCATAAATGAGAAGATACTTTTTTGTCATTCCCTTTTGGGTCCGATTCTCCTAAGCATTTGGGCAGGGGCGGGGAGTGAGGAGGTGGGCAAGCTACCCCTCCTCTCCTACCTTCTACACAGATGTTCCCAAGGCACTTTCCCACCTCTTCGAAGTTACTCAGTTGTTGGGAAAGGCTCTGGTCAGGCTGGGAGAGGCTGCTGGAGGAGGTTCTCTGAGCCTCAGAGTGCAGATGCCAGAGGCTGCCCCTACTCCAGGGAGATGATTTGGTCGGTTTCTGACCTCTCCCGATGGCAGGAGGAGGAGCGGGCATCAGGCTTTCCACTGCACAGCCAGGGGCTGGGCTGGAAAGCAGAATGCCCATTCCTGAGGCAGGGCGGGGCTGCCGGAGGTAGGGGTGAGGGGGACTCTGGAACCCTTCTGGCCAGGAAGAATAGACCCAAGGAAGGTTGAAGGCTATTGGGGAGCTCTAGGGCACATTGAGGGCAGAGTTACCAACTCTGGTACTGTGTAGTGGAAGTGATCACCTTTCCCCTTTTTGGTCTGGCTGGGGCCCCTGGATTGTTTGACCCAGCCTCAGTCTTTCCTTATCAATCCACCCCTTTCTCCTCTCCTGAGAAATTCCAAACCTTTCCTACCTCTCTCCCTCCTACCACGGTCTCTGCTTAGCTGCGGCTCTCTGGGTAACTTGTATTGCCATGCTCCATTCTGCAGGAAACAAAGACTTGTCCCCAATAACTGTCTGCAAAGCCCTTCCTTTGGCTACCCCTCCTCCTCAAGCTGGTACTTGGAACCCTTCCAGCTTGGCAACCAGACCTGTCCCGTTCCACTTCAAATACATTTCACCTCTTCCTCCAGGCCTTTGCACAGGCTGGTCACCATGCCTAGAAAACTCTCCTCATCTCCCCCTCTTGGATCCCTGGTTTTCTTGGGGGCTTATAAAATAGCTAGCATTTATACATGGTACTTCCAGGTTTGTGAAATGTTTACAAACAACTCATTTTATCCTCACAAGAACCACAGGAGATGTACTATTATTATCCCTGTCTTACAGATGAGGAATGTGAGGCAGACAGTAGTTAAATAACTTGCCCAGGATTAAACTGCTAACTGTGTAAAGCTTAGGTATTCCTTATTTGAAGACTAACATTCTAGCCACTTCATCACCTAAAAGTTATCTCAAGGGTGACCAACCATTCAAGGCTATTCCTGACCAACCCAGTTATTAGGGGTCCCTCTGCTACCACCTATAAAAGTACTTTGTATTTTCTTCATATGTGCCTGGTATTTCCTTATCTATATACGTGTTGTATATAGCATGAGACTGCCTTACTGTAGAATGTGAGCTTGAGGGCAGGGAATGATTCCTTTTTTTTTTTGCCTTTATATTGTTAGCATTTAGCTCAGTGTTTGAATCATTGTAGAACTTTAACAAATAATTGGTGAACTGAATAAGCAGGACTATGCCAGAGTTCATATTTTCTAATCTTAACTGGTCTCTCACCAAAGTACAATGATACTTCTGACTCTTCCCTATGAATCCCTATGGAACTCTTTCCCTGAATGTTTCAGACTTTTCTTCTTCCCTCAAGTTTTCCACAGCATACCTCCCTTACTTTCTCAGCTGAGGTTCTTACCTCCTGTATCACCAAAAACCAGGCCATCCATGTAAGCTCCCTCTTCTTCCTCTCTCCTTATCTCACATCCCCCAGACATCACCCCCCCCTCCACTCTCTTCTTTACTCCAATCTCTGATGAAGAGGTGGTCCTTCTGTTAGCTAGTCAATCCCTCTACATCTACCATTGATCCTAGCACTTTCTATCAGTCCCAGCAGATTGCCCCCATATCATCTCCCCATATCTCAAATTTTTAACCTCTCCCTATATACTAGCTCCTTCCCTGATGCCTGTAACCTGTCTCCCTCATCCTTAGAAATGGTCATTAAATGCTACCATGACTGCTGGTATCATCTTCTGTCTCTTCCCTCCTCAGCTAAAATTCTTGAAAAGGTCATCTCCATTAGGTGTCTCTATTTCTGCTCACTCACTTCTAAATTCTGTGTATTCACACGTCATCATCTGAATGAAATTGCTTCTTCCAAAGGTACCAATGATCTAATTGCTCAGTCTAATGGCCTTTTCTCAATAAACATCTGTGACCTCTGTTGTATTTAACGACATTTCCTCCTCCTTGGATATACTCTTCTTTCAGGGTTTTTGTGATATTTCTCTCTTCTAGTTCCCCTCCTACTTGAGTCACTGCTCTTTCCCAGTGTCCTTTGCTAGATCTTCATCAAAGTGACATCACTGACTGTAGGTTTGCCCTCAGGGCTTTGTTCTGGGCCTTTTCCTCTTTTCTCTCTACACTCTGTCACTTGGTAACCTCCTCTGGCATGAATTCAATGACCATCTCTATGCCAAATGACTAGTCTCTCTCCTGAGCTCCAGTCCCGAGTCACCAATTTCTTATTGAATCTTTCAAACCTCATGTCCAAAAGGCATCTCAAACTTCACTGTCTACAACAAAACTGAAAAATCATCTTTCCCCCTAAACATATCTACTTCCACTCACTCATGCTCACAACCTCAAAGTCATCTGAGAGTCCTTGATCTTACTCACCTCACATGTTCAGACAGTTATCTTACAACCTATCAGACTGGCTAAAACGATAGATGCCGTTCAATAGGGGAAGGGCTAAACAAGTTGTGGAGGAAGATGCTATCTTCCTCCAGAGAAAGAGATGACAAATAGAAATATGTATGGTATGGTTTTTACATATATGTATATGTGTATATATGTGTTTATAGATATGTATGTACATGCATATATTCACATTTAATTGTAGCCTTCCCTAGAGCAGGGTGGGGAAGGAGGGGTGGAGAAAAAAAATTAAGAAGTGCACAGAACAAAAGAAATCTCAGAAGTAAGCACAGAAAAGCTAGATAGCTTTGAAAATAATGTGTAGTATTTATTACATGGGTTTTAAAAAGGAAACAGTTTGAAATGGAAATTTATTGTTTTATATTGAATCCTCTCATGTTCTGCTGTGTACATGGAAATGCTCTTTTTTTCTTTTCTCGTTTTGTATTTTTTTTAAATGAATTTTAAAAAACCACATCCAGACAGTTGCAAATCTTGTCATTTCTCCCTCTACAACATTTCTCCTTTATGTCCCCTTTTCTCTATTTGCACAACCACCACTTTCCTGGGACAGGCCTTCATCAGCCCTGGGCCAGATTATTGTGACAGCCTCCTAACTGGTCTTCCTGCCTCTAATCTCTTCCTACTCCAATTTATCCTTTACTCATTGATCAAAGTGACTTTCCTAAATTGTAAGTCTGGTCACTCATCTTAGGAGCACAATCTGTCATACACAGGCTAGGCTGCTTTTTCTTAAAAAGTATGGAAAGCATCCTTGAGAATTAATTGGTACAGAATAGGTTGGGCTAAGTTTCATGCCTGGAATGTACATGACCCCTCTTTTCTTCTTCTTAGAATTCTTGTTTACCTTTAAGACTTAGACCTTCTTTTGTTTTCTAATGTTTTATATTTTATCTTTTCCAATTACATGTAAAAACAATTTTTAACATTTTTTTTAAATTTTGAGTTCCAAATTCTTTCCCTCCCTTCCTCCTTGAGAAGGCAAGCAAAATGATATAGACTATATATGTGCAGTCATGCAAAATATATTTCCACATTAGCTGTGTTTTTTGAAAGAAAACACAGACCCCCCCCCAAAAAAAACCAAACTAAAACAAACCAAGATAAATAAAGTTAAAAAAAAAGTCCACTTCAATCTGCGTTTGGATTCTGTCAGTTCTTTCTCTGGAGGTGAATGGCATTTTTCATCATAAGTCCTCCAGAATTGTCTTGGATCATTCATTGTATTTCTATTAGCTCACCTTTTATAGAAAAAACTTTCCTGGTTTCTCCAGCCATTAATATCTTCCCTTCTCAAGTCAACTTGTGTTTACATTGTATGTATCGTGTGTGTGTGTGTGTGTGTGTGTATGTATCTACATCTACATGTTATCTTCCCATCTGAATATAAGCCACTTGAAGGCAGGGAGTGATTTGCTTTTGTATTTGTATGCCAAAAACAGCATAGTGCCTGGCACATAAAGTAACTTGTTGATTAACTGACACAGAAGTAGACAGTGCTATACCCAGTAGGTGCTTAATGATTGTTGAATGAATGAAAAGTTATTTCTGTCCTCAGGTTTGCTGCCCCAGAAGTATTTTCACCCACTGGGCCATATGAAGGTTGATCACCTGTTACCTTGTGACCTCTGCTGCATGTTGGAACTTGGGAACATAAATTTGCCTCTTCCTCCAGAGGCCAGCATAGTTAAGGAAGATCTATCAGGCACATTCCCATTTGTCATTCAACAGGGCTCTTCTGTCTGCTGCTGTTGCTGATTGCTGAATATACAGCCATGATGATGATAATAAAATACCACTGGAAGCTATGATTCAGTGCATTCTGGGAGCTCATCCTTTCTGACTTGCCTGGCTAGATTCCCCTGGCCTAGAGATCCTGTTGGTATCTGATGTGGGTATTTAGCCAGACTGAGAAGTTGTCCTGATATATCTCTTTCCAATGTCAATAGATTGGTTTCATTCCAGAACCTCCTGGGTGAAGACCCCCACCCCCCACCTCCATCTTGCCTCTATTAAACATAGTTTAATAACTCCTTTTTAAAAAATAAGAAATTTTGTTGATGACTTTATTTCAACACCATAGTCATTTCTACCCTTAGTTATAAGTCCTTCCTTCTATAAGTCCTTAGTTCTTCCACCACGGTCATATTTCCTCTTCTACTCCCAATACTAATGTGCCTTCCTTCGTAACCAAGAAAAACAGTTGTGTAAAGCCTGCTGACTCAGAGACCTTGTGTGCATTTGACACTCCACACCTGTCTGACTCACTTTTCTATTGAAAACATGCCAGTGCGTTTTCTTATCTTTTCTCCAGGAATGTTGTGTTCAATTGTTTAGTTGTGTCAGACTCTTCATCACCCAGTGGACCAGACTGTCTATAGGGGTTTTCTTGGCAAAGATACTTTGGAGTGGCTTGCCATTTCTTTCTCTAGTGGATTAGAGCAAACAGGGGTTAAGTGACTTGCCCAGGGCCACACAGCTAGTAAGTGTCTGAAGCTGGATTTGAACTCCAGGCTCAGTGCTCTATCCACTGAGTCATCTACCTGCTTCTTTTCCTGGGATGAGATCAGTCATTTCTGCATTAGGCTTCATTTTAGGGTTAATTTTGTTTATATTATCATAGTCGTTTGATGTGTTATATATAAAGGGTCTAATATTCCAAGTGAAAGATGTCATGATTGCTAGAATCTTGGAGTTGCAAGGGAATTTGGAAGTTCACCTGATCCAACTCCCTTACTGGTCTGCAGGATAGAGTGACAAGGTGGGGCTTGAATGTAGGTCATCCATGAAATGAGCCTAGTTCGCCTAGTGGATATTGTCCTGGCCTTGGAGCCAATACTTGGATTCAAATCCTACCTTTTACGGGCAGTTGAGGGATGTCATATTACACAGAATCCTGGGCCTGGAGTCAGGAAGACTCATTTTCCTGAATTCAAACCTGGTGTCAAGAAACTAGCTGGGTGACCCTAGGCAAGTCACTTCACCCTGTTTGCCTCAGTTTCCTCATCTGTAAAATGAGCTAGAAAAAGAAAT